CACCCACACCCACACCCACCCACCCACACCCAGCTCTTGATATCACTCTGATTTTTGACGACACGTTAGCAGAGAACTAGTCCATGGAATAATTTTGAACAGTCAGTTTGTTTCACAGTCCTAAAAATTATTGAAATATTTGAAGATTCTAAATTTAAACCGAGTAGAAAAGTGAGATTTATCGTTATTCTACGTAGTTTCGATATTTCTTTTATTATTTTTATATATTTAAATTAATTTCAATATATTGCAGTTTATTTTTAAACATAGATCTCAGTCTTCTACTTAATACAACGAAACTTATAATAGATAGCAGAGATGGAACTGGTACCAGTTACCGACTGGCTGGTCTATCTTATTTTGTTACCATGTTAGTCACATAAACTTGTACAAAACTTCTGGATATGAATGGTATCTTTGACAGAATGCATAAGAAAATATCTGTGACAGCTGACTACATAAATTATCACTATCTAAAGATAGAATGTATATAGGTAAAAATTTTAGAGTGGCCTGTCCGATCCAGTCTGACCTATTTGGATTGGTACTGGTACCGTCTTCAACAATCCAGACGGATTCCATATCTGATAGATAGAATTGTTTTTCTGAATTATTGATAATTGCAATATTTATAAAAAAATTTTGTTGTGAAAAAATATTAAGATTTAATTAAAAAAAGAAAACAATGCATATTATGAAAATATCAAAATTTCATCTAGATGGCAGATTATTTTCATGTATTCTTTTGCATGCTTTTCGAAGATGATTAGTTTTAAAAGGGTTTCATTTTACACATAATCGGAGAGAAAGACGTCCCAACTTCTCCTCTTTTAATTGATGAAAACCGCAGATCGCTAGCTATTGCCGTTAGCAGATGACTCTATTACTCAGCATAAGCATGAGATAGTGAAGAAGTTATAAATATACGAGGATAAATGCTTTTCTCATATCACTACTTATCATTTTTACAGGATATCCACATAATGTAAAAAAAACCATTTACGACTCTAGACCTCATCACTCATTTAACCACATAACCAATCTTAACTATGGTTTTTAAGGATCAAAATTGAAATTGCAAGTCTGTTTGAAAAAGAAACAAATTGAAAGAGAGTCAGTAAAAATTCTCTTGTTGCACATGCTTTCGACTGATAGGTGGTCTCCACGCTTGAGATCATTCATCAGTTGAAGGTAGACATATTTCAATATCAATACTATCAAAGTCAATATCATTTGGTATTGATGATACTAGTATCGAATGGTATCAGTTTAGCTGGAAGTCGCTTATTTTGAGAAATAATGATTTTGTTTTTCAAATAATCTTGACTAAGGCTTTTTTTTCGAATTAGATAGGTCGATCGAGAGCATCAGACTGCATAATTTTCGAAAACTGAAAAGTTTCATAGATTTATCGACTCCAAAATCCTTTAGACAAAAGTTTTATTAAAAAACCGTTATATTCTCAAAAAGAAAGCCATCCCCTTTAGCTGTTGAAAAGATATCAATCAATCGATCGATCAATTTTGTTTTCAGTTCATACACAAAAGAATGAATGAGTTTTTATTTCTTTTTATTTCCTAGTTCAATAGATAAAAAAAAAACAACACTCCTAAATACAATCATTTCCATTGAAGATACAACATATTATTATCAAATTCAAGTTTAATGGTAAAATGATGAAAAAGTTTTTCATGATTGATCATATCTTGTAATTTGTTAATCATTTCATTGTTTGTTGTTGGAATATAAAGACATAATGAACGAAGATATTGATTGTAATCATTATTAATTTTCATTAAAAGATCTTTTAGAAACACTTCATAATCTATATTATCGATCAAATTGACTTTGAGATATGTCATACGAGGACAAAGTCTTATAAGAAAATAAACTTCTTCAATAGCATTCATTTTGACGAGATAAACTTTGTTGATATTATTTTTATTTGCTACCATATAAAGATCATGTTCGTAGAAATTGGCAAATATTGATTCTAATAAATTCAAAGAAAAGATTTTTAATGAATCAAGTGCAGGTAATTTATCGATTAATTTGATTATTTCAGTAGAACAAATATTTGGTTTAGAAATTTCCAAATGATAAATTTGTGTTATTGATAAAATTTCATCAATAGTTAACTTTAATAATCTACTATAATAATCATCATCAGAAACACTCCAAACAATAAGTCGAGTAGATTTTGAAAGTTCAATGGAAGAATTCATATCGTACCATCTTTTTCTAAAAAGAAAAGTTGTTAGCATAATTGTTGTGACATAAAAAGATGATGTCCGCCATGGTTTGCGGTAAAGATGTCTGTCACGATAGAGTTTGTCGGATCCGAATCGGAAAATTTCTTTTGATTGGATTTTGGTTCTAACTTTTCTATTTTGTCAAGTTGGGATCCATGTCCCTATCCAGCATGAACTTCAGACCGAATTTTGATTTAGCTGTGATCAGAAACAGTCGGAAAACAGTTCTTGTTGTTTTTTTTATTCTGCGAATAAACACTACTTAGCTAAACTATTGATTCTTTACTTGATAAGCTCTGGTCATGGTCTATAATAATCCGTTATTATGGTATCTGTCATGGTTTGTGAGCGGAAGAAAGGATGAATGGCTACAATTTCCTTTCTTATACTTCAGCATTAGACATGTGCCGGACGAAGTTTTTTCAGTCCGGATCATGATCTTTGTAAGTTGTTTTCCATTAGTCCTAGTCGCAATCTTAGTAAATCTGAACAGTTCAATTTTTTAAATTTGTTGACTCAGTAATCTTCACAGTGACCGAAAGTGAAAAATGCCTAAAAGAAAAAATGATAGGCAAGGGTGAGAGTGATGGACATTTTCATTTTTAACATTTCTACTTTTTGATCAAAGGTGGAAGAACCATTAGCTCTGTTCTTGGCATCGACTTAGACAAACATTTTTCTAATGAACTGCTCGAAGTTTTTTTTTTTGATTGATACGATTTATAACATAATTCACCTATAAATATAGCAAGTTTAAGTACAATCTTTAATGTCACTCAGGACTAGACATGAGGGCGAGATCGAGACTAAAAAGATGACTAGAATATAATCGGAACATAATTCAAGAAAGAATACCTTCAACTTGTCGCCGACTAAAAGGAACCGATACTCTCAAAACTAAAATCAATGGAACCGAGACCAAAAAAATTTCATTCCGCATATGTCTAGTAAAGACAACTTTCTCGTAATCTGGATAGTTTGATTTTTTTAGTCTTGATCTCATACATGTCTACCCAACAATTCTGTTACATCGTATTTTCACTGAAAACAAAAATAATTTACTTAAGATAAAACAGTTATTTCAATATACCTGTACTGTCCAACTGAACAGACAATTTTCGAAGAATTCATTTCAACATCCATCAACCATTGTCGTTCAATCCAGAATAAAGAACGAAATTTATTCGAAAGTAGGACATAAGACGTTAAAGCTACAGGATCAACTTTTTCATGATATTGTAAATAAAATTTTTCCAAATCCGGTAAATAATTTGTAATAAATTCTTGCCATCGATCAGCATCAAGACAATCTCGTTCATACGAACGAGTAATAACACGTAAAACTTTCAAATTACATCCAGTTTTTGTAATAAATAGTTTCAATTTATTCAACATTACATAATACATTTTTATTGATAGATATGTTAGACGGAATAAATTCATTGGTAATAATATTTCATTATTAAAATAATTATCATAAAATGTCATAAAATTTAAATGACAAAGTTTAGGTGTATAAGATATTATAGTAGAAACTTGATTAAAAGTACAAGAATGATTAATCACAAGATATTCAATACTACTTAATTGTTCCTTCTTAGCAATTGGTAATAACATAGATATGACAGTTCCATTTGTTGAACATTTCATATATTTTAATTTTGGTAAAATAAAAATTAATCGATAAACTTCCGTTAAATCGTCCAATATCCATTGTATATCAATAGTTAATGAAAAAAGTCGTGGTAGACCAGTTGAACTAGTAAGAAGTGATAAAAGTCTATATAGTGAAATATTAAAAAGCATAAATGATTCAAGACAATTAAATGATGAATTAATGGAATATGATGAGAAAAATTCATGATTGTGTAATGATAATGATAAATGTAAGGAAATAATTCGATGTTTATTGTTTAATAAAAGTTGTTGATATGTATTCATATATGATTTATAAGATGATGAATTAATTCTAATTTTCAATGGAAATGATGAAGAACCGAGAAATTGTTGAAAACGATAATTAAGATTCGAAAATGCTTGATAGATTTCATTACCATGAAGATAATCGAATATTTCATAATATAATTCATTTGATAAGTTTTCAACAGATGTTATCGACATCTTGAATAAAAATTTAATGTTCAGTAAAGATGGTTTTTTTTGTTTGTATAAATAACTTAAGTTTATCGATTGAATGTGGATAATAATTACGTTGAAATTCTGTTATCTTTTCGAAATTCAGAATGATTTAGAAGGAACATTGAAAAAAAAACGCGGATGAATGTTTATATTTCTTGATTATTCTTTTCTTCTAACGAACTCGAATGATTTAAATAATCACATATATTTTTCTTTTCCTTCTTTTCTTTACAAAGAATATCTTCACTATCGAATTATTTATTCGTCACTATTCTTATAGATTAAGAACTCAAAGTTTTTGCGATTTTTTTTTAATGAAAGAGATTGAATTATCTTTACCTAGATTTAAACTTTTCTTATTTGTATTTCTTCACAATATCAAAGCGAAGTATGAATGGATCTACAAGTTTTAAAAAAAGAAAAAAAGTATAAAACTGAAATGTTGATTCAATTTATTTTTCGACTAAATCTTTTGTTTAAATTAAACAACTTGAGAATGTTAAAATCAATTTAATGAAAATAATAAGCAAAAATCAATGGGCTTAGTAAAGTTCAAACAATGAAAAATTACGCAAATGTTTGTTCTAAGTACAGACATATGAAAAGAGTCAAAGTTAAAGATTTTTTTGCTATCATAGTCAAGTGTCAATCATTTTTATTTCATCTTCTATTTTCACAAGAACTAAACCTTAACCTACATTCTGCAATATATCCACTTGATCAAACTCCATAAATTGATCCCATTTTAGAGACAATTTTCTTGATGTTCTCATTAGATATCATTATATCAAAATGATAATACTAAATTTCAGTGTTCAACGATTTCGATTGCTCAAAATTCATATAAATAAACTCATCTTTTATTGTACATCAATGAATGAAACAATTTTCCTCAAACCATATTTTTATACTTTAAAATCAATTGATTTCTATCTTGAAAATGTCGAATTATTTTCTTTTGTTTACAGTATTTAACCATTTTGATCAGTTCATACAATTACATCATTGAAATGATTGCAAACAAATACATTTACATGTTTTATAAACTTTTTCAATGAGAAAATGCAGAAAATATCTACTATTCGAATATAAATTGGGACTAGAAATAAATGAACATGTAGTAATGCCATATACCGTAACAAGATTATCTTTGTAGAGTTCGGATATTTCAAAAACTTTGTCAAATCGTTCGTAGTTGGCATTATTGTTTGATTGCGACTTCATCTACTATTGACTATAAAAAGGATTTATTCAGATTTAAATGATCTCTCATAAATGTAAAAACAACTTTAAAACAAAGGATAGACTCATTGCTTTATCTACAATCCGTGAGAATAGTTTCTATTACAATGCGACGTTTTATTCTATCAATATAATTCGTACATAGAGGTTGACATACACCAACTATGTCCAAAGTATACATGTGAAAAAAAAAGATGCATGGAAAAACAACAATTATACATATATGATAGTAAAATAAAAAATTCTTTAAAATAAACTAATTTTCCAATAGAAATATCTTCATTCCAAGAATGACATATTTGGGTGGGTATAGATGTTCAAGTTCAAACGACAACCACACCCACGCCCCATAGATACGCAATGACGAGAGTGTGGGTGTGGGTGTGGGTTTGGGGTGTGGGGTGTGGGTGTGGGTGTGGGTGTGGGTGTGGGGTGTGGGTATGGGTGTGGGGTGTGGGTATGGGTGTGGGGTGTGGGTGTGGAGTGGGGATGTGGATATTCAGTTCACCCACGCCCCACGCCCCCACACCCCCACACCCACACCTACTCACACCCACACCCCACACCCACACCAGGGATGCCACCTTTTCCGCTTTTTGCGGAAAGTTTCCGCATTTTCGCCTTTTTTCCGCTATTTTTCCGCTGTTCCGCTTTTTCAGTTTTTTTCTCGTTTTTCCAGCATAGCCTCGATTTTTGATGGCATGAGTTATCCCATCTAGCTAACACTTTTTAAGAAAAAAAAGCTTGCATTGCGGTTGGTTACCGCATCCATAACTCACCTATTCTATATGTTTTCGAAGGAGATTTATCAATCATATGACGAAATGCTTTGTCTAGAATTCTCATTTTTAGAAAATACCTTACTTCAAGTCAAAAGCATTGATTGTGTCGAAATGAGATAGATGTTTAAATTTGTCGTTGCTATGCAAAAGAAGAACTTCTTTTACAAAACATGGCTGATGCAAATCAATTCAGAGTGTTTATAATGAAATTGTTTTTTCTTCTGCTTATATATTAGGTTTCCGTACAGTGAACTGCATCATACCAAGAAAAATGTTGTTACACATTTCGAGTCAAATCTTTCGATTCTACGAACGAAAGTTGCTGCTTAATATCAGATATTTAGTTAAAATTTTTGTGCCTGAAGGACAAAACAATCGCTAGTCCATGACATTGATCTGTTGTTGATCAAGCCAACCACAACGGATTTGAGCGAATAAACACTTTTCTTTTTACGTAATGAGAATCATTCCAATCCTATACACAACTTTCTACAGCCAAAACATTTCACATCAAATTGGTTTGATAAGTTTGAGCGATACTACTTCCTGAAATAGGTAAGATTTTAAGGTATCATAGTAGTATGAATCTGTGCAATTGGTAATTCCTTACTAAGATTCGCTTGATCTACCCATCTTAAAACGTTAATCAAAGTCGTTCGTTGCCCTACCATTGCTTTGAGGGAATGAAAAACTTATATAGATTTTGGGCGAGCGTGACAGAAAACTGGATCCATGTTTATAATACTCACTACAAAACTCAGTCATGAAAAACGCGACTGCTCTCTTCAAATCCGCAGAATGCGTAGTCAGAGCACTTCTTATTGGTAGAAGCTTGTTATGAGTTCATCAACTGCTAGTAAAATTTAAAAACGGCTACTAGATAAAATAAAAGCGTGCTTCGACGAAGCCTTCACCTTTTTGTTTTATCAAGTCGCAGCTAGTCGACAACTGGTTGATACATGTTGGTAAATATTCTTTCGTTTCAGATATTTTTAAAAATTCGAATCCAATATGTTTATTGTTGTGAGAAATTCGAAACATTTGACTAGGACTACATATAGGAAAGAGTGTATAATAGTTTCCGCAATTTTTCCGCTTTCGGAAATATTTTTTCCGCAATTTTCCGCTTTTCACAAGGAAGATTCCGCTTTTTTGGCCTGATGAGGTGGCATTCCTGCCCCACACCCACACCCACACCCAAAATATCATTAACAATTTATCACCAGTTGTAATTGAACATCCTTTACTATTGATTGATTTCGAATAATTTATCATTATATTCTTATGTTTTTATTATTATTATTATAAGTGAGGATATCATTGAATTGTATGTCATTTGAAAGGCTGTCATGAGTACGCAAAGCTCATATAAAATACATTCGATTAGGGATTATTCTCTACATACAGATCAGCTCATTTTGTCGTGCCTCAAAAATAATGAAATACCCTGTATAGCATTTCAAAAACCCTTTATAGGATTGAGATATCGCATGAACCTTTCCATCTAACCTTTCATAAAACCCTCATAGAGTTGAGGTACTTCATGAACCCTTCAATCTACTGTTTCATAAACCATTTGTAGAGTTGAGGTATCTCATTAACCCTTTAATCTACCCTTTCATAGGTTGATATGCCTGATAAACCCTTCAATCTACCTTTTCATAAACCTTCATAGGGTTGAGACATTTCATGAACTCTTCAATCTACTCTTTCATAAACCGTTTGCACCGCTGTTACGCTTCTTGAACCTTTCCATATACCCTTTTGATAGTCAATTTTAAGGCTACATGATAGCGTTTATGCAGCTCATGAACCCTTTCGAAGAGTTTATGAAAGTGCAACGTATAGCAAACCCTTTTTGGGTTTTTGAATATTATTAACCGTTTCATAAACGTTTATGAGAGGTATTTGAAAATTCATGAACCTGTTCATAAACCTTTTTTTAGGGTGTGGGTGTGGGTGTGGGTGTGGGTGTGGGTGTGGGTGTGAGTGAGTGTGACTGTGGGTCGTTTCTTGAACACCCACCCCATACCTCACACTCACACACTTCCACCCACACCCACCCACACCCACACCCGGAAATTCTGATTGTCATATATGATCCACATCATATAAGAGATAAATAAAACAATTATGAAGTTAATCACAGGAGTTATAGAACTTATTGTTGAAAATTATAAAACTTATTTTTGTTATATTAATAGATGAAATTTATTAGATATTAATAGACCTAAGTTAACGACTAATTTCAACCTGTACGATATCTGTAATAGAATTTAAAAATAATCTTCGTGTTAACAAATTTGACAATTTAATCGTAAAAAATATCTGTCTTGGATATACATTAATTAATTTTTCGAACAAAA